CCCCAAAACCCCAAAACCCCAAAACCCCAAAACCCCAAAACCCCAAAAATATCTAAAATTTTGAAAATTTTAAATGGAAGAAACCCAAAAACAAGAGTTTGAAGATAAGCTCAAACAGAGAGAAGAGGAACGAGCAAAACAGAAGGAAGAAAGGGATAAGAACAAGGATGATGGGGTTGAGGAAGAAGATCCTGATTTCATACAAGCAAAGCTTAAAGGTAAGCAAATATATTGCGCAACGCATCGTCTAATCCTTCTAATAGACCAAATTGCTGTTATCCAAGATGGTTTATCAAAACATGCTGAACTTGGTGATGATAAGAAAGTTATTGAAGCTCATTTTGATACCTTAAATACCCAGTTTAAAGATCTTCGTGATTATCTTGCAAATATCCTCTTCTGTCTTCCATCCTATACTCAGCAATCTTTTCAGAAGGAAGTGGATATCTTACATGAAACGCTAAACTCAGAGAGGGAGAAAGCAATCCCAAAGTCTAAATTTTCTTTCAAAATGAAGAAAAAGCAAAAGAAACCAAAGGAAGAGAAGAAGGAGGAAATCAAGCAGGAGGAGGAAGAGGATGTTGACATTTTTGCACTGATCGATGAAGAAAGAGATCTGGTCATTAAAAACCAGAAAGGTCTTCGAAGGATAGTCCTTCCCACTGAGTACGAGGGGAAGGATAAAGCGTACCTTATCAACATTGATAACTGTGATATCTACCTACCCTTCGTAATGAAAGCTCTATATATCAAAAATGTTCATAACTCCCGGATCTACGGAGGCTACGTAATGGGTGCTACCTTCTACTTCTCAACTAAGAAGAGTACCTACCACATGGCTTCCCATCAGACTAGGATTCATAAAGCAGTTGGGTGTGATTTCTACTTATTCGCAAAGCAGGGGCCTATCATCGAGGATTGTTCAGAGCTGAGGTTTGGACCTTACAAGTTTAGGTACCCTGATAGCATTAAGCATGAGACATTTGCAGGGTTCTTCAACCAGCCAAATTTGTATCACAAGGTGGTTGATTTTAAGTGGATTAAGAAGGACAAGAGTCCTAATTTTGATGTGATAGTGGGGGAAGATGCAGAGTCTATGTACTCAACTGTGTTAGAAGAAAGTGATTTTAAATAAGTCAACAGTAAACCTTATTCCCGGGGTTTTGGGGTTTTGGGGTTTTGGGGTTTTGGGGTTTTGGGGTTTTGGGGTTTTGGGG